TAATTTTGGCAAGATCTTCTGAATACTTCGGGAATTATAAACTGGGTAAAACACACTGTAATGACAAGTGTAAATAATATCAGTATAAAAATCATAAGCATTATCAGAGACGAACAAAGACTACATTTTTCTCCTTTAATGGCAGTTGCTGCGCTCATCGGTGGAATAATTGCTGGTCTATTTTTCTTTGTGACAAGCTCTTCAATTTGTTTGCTGTATGACACAACACCACTTTCCCTTTAAAAAAATTTATAAAAAAGCCTAGATTTTGTTGCCAGTTCTCTCTGGAAAAAAGGAGGAGGTTCTCAATTCGACTGTATTTTTATGTGTGTTACCTCAGAACTTCTTTATAGGTGAACCGATTTTGATGCTTCTTTTTAAAAGCTAGTGTTTCTCATATGGTTCCATGTGCATTTAATCAAGATATGGCCAGTAGTTTCGAGTTATCCTTAATAATGTGTATATAATTGACTTCAATTACATTGATGGTCTCATTTTGTTTATATTGAAGTCGGTGGTATAAAATTATTAATTTCACCACTTGTTCATCATGTTTTCTGAAGTAAAGTTATTCCTATACGTTCGAATACTGATTCTGATAACGCACTTAAGGGGAACCTCAGGGTTTTTGTTACGCGTAAACGGCCGCAAAAGTTATAGGACGGCTCACAGTTAAGTGGCAGCATAACGTTGAACAAAATGCTGAAAATATTGGCACAAACAGTTCCCAGACAAAAAGCTGAAGACATAACATTGCGGAAAGATTTGACCAGGCTTTCGGGCAGGCTGGTTCGCCATGGTAAATCAACGAATAACTAACAAAACTGTGAGTGATGGAAAAGGCGACATGAAAATGAAACTAATTTGTTTGTAAAAAGAAAGTACGATAGACTATGACATGACTAATGTATTCATATAAGGCCTAAGGCATGTGGAGACTTGCTACAAAAAATAAAGACAGATTTGGGGATAGAAACAGTAACTAAGAGTTCAATAGATACGTTTGCAGTGTTCATCGCTGCCTTGCTTTGAATGCCAAGATTCACACAGTGAAACAAGAAGCATGGGAAAGTAATTTTCTTTGGTTATGTTTTGAGCTTTGTATTTTCGTCACTGTATACTCAATTTATCGAATACAAGAAAGACATATAAGAATTTGCCAGCTAGACATAACAACAGTTTGGAAAACTCCGCATTCAATATAAAGCGTTTAAGAATGTAATATCCATAAAAAAACACAAATGGACTCGACTAAACTGGCGTATACGCGGCCTAGCTAAATGGTCCCATATTTCTACCATAAAAGCATGATGGCGTCTATATAGATGTTATATATGATGGTTGTGTGTTTTTCCTCCGTCTGTTATTAAAAACACTGTTACATTTTGTATTCTTAGGGTTCCGTATCTCAAAACGAAAAAACGGAACCCTTATAGGATCACTTTGTTGTACGTCTGTCTGTCTGTCTGTCTGTCAAGACCCTTTTTCTCAGGTACGCGTGGAGGTATCAAGCTGAAATAATGCTCAAGTCTACTGTCCCTTGGAGCTGTGAAAAAATCAAACTTCTAAGTCAACGTAATCAAAAGATACAGCCGTTTATGCCGCAAATTTTCGACATTCGCAAGGGAATCAAAACCTACAGGGTACTTCCCGTGAACTCAGAATCTTGAAATTTGGTACGAAGCAACGTTTTATAGCACAGATAAAGAAAAATTGCGAAAAGCATAAATTTTTAGTTACATCATATAATAAAAATATTTTTAAACTTATATACCTACGGATTTGTACGGAACCCTCAGTGCGCGAGTCCGACTCGCACTCGGCCGGATTTTTTTTGTGAAAATATTTATAAACATTGAATCATTTCCATATGCGATTATTAAGTTGCATAATATCGTTATCAGACCAAAAATGTTAAATGGAGTGCTCTTTCCATATATACGTATAAACAATAAATCTCTGGACGGCATTCATAGTGTCTCAATGTTACTAACTGTGCAAGGTGAGCGCACACATGAATTAATAATCAAAGCAGGTAGTGACGTAAGGCACAGTGCAGTGGCTGTGTAAGTATATCCACTGCCCCATATCGTCCCGTAGATGTCGTAAGAAGCGACAGAGAGCAGCAAACCAGGTGATGAGCAGCAGCGTCTACCTAGTAATAACTAGAATAATAAATAAATAAAACTGCGCTGGTTGACCCGCTTGCCAAACGTGTCAACTATAGCAAGTATGTTCCCTATGAGGTAGAGGTTTTTCTATAGGATAAGGGTGACAAGCAATCACACAGTCCACTTGATGGTAAGTGATTGCTGTGGCCCATAGACATCTACATCTATCCTCGATTACGAATCAAAATGCAGATGCAGTCACCTGTGAGGACTAAGATGGAATGCCTCGTTTCCAGTTAAAAGGGTCTCCCGTTCTCTACACTCACTGTAGGAAACAGCAGCTTTACAGTGGTTTTTGAAAACGAGGTTCTTCCCCGGTCGATCCGATCCATTCGTGCTACAACTATACCAGTAATATAGTTGCAGCATGGCTCTACCACGTATGAACATACACACATGATTCTTCGCGTTCTTACGCTTTAATCACTTAAATAAAAGCATTTTATCGCATTCATGACTGTTTACGATGTAATAGGCCAAATATAAAAATATATACACACAAACTATAGTTGTGATTTAAAACAAAACTGTTGCAATAAAGAAAAAATTTTAAAATTCATTCTACCAAATTTTAATTAGCTGCTTACCACTGGAACGTATATAGGCTGTAACTTTACCTTAAAATGTCACCAATTGCTTACGTCATCACTGAAATATCAGTGCCACCTATTAACGCGAACTAGGCTGTAAGAACTCGTAATCCTTTGCCTTTCTCCTTTGGAATAAAAAAAAGGAAAAATATTAACACAAAGAGCACTCCATTACAATTTAAAAAAAACTACATTTGCCACTAAACGAATTAAGTATTGATTTGATAAACACAATATTACTTACTTTAAAATAATTATAATTAAATAAATACAGGGTGTAAACAATTGCTTGTTCTAGCAACAATATATTATTTGTATTATTCCGATAAAATTTCAATCCATTTCATGGAAGAGCAATCCCAATTTTAAACAGTTTGTAGCAATTTCTTACACCTTACACTACACTATATACAATGTTAGGAATATTAAAATATCTTGTTTCTTTATAACCTCTCAAGCAAAAAGCGATTCTATTATATAAGCGAAATCTAAAAATAATACAACTGACGCGATACCAGTTGAGAGAATCATATTATTTCTTTTAAAGTCTCAACGACTTGTAACTTATATAAATGAAAATCAACTAAAATAATAATAATTAATTACATATTAAACCTATACGCGTGGTATAGTTTACATAGATAATAGGAAATTGACGGACAATACGTTAATATATATATATTAGTATTATATATATACGCCTATGTACCACATGTGTATATGAAGTTTAAATAAATATAATGTGTTAACTGTCTATCATAATGCCTGCCTAAGATTTGGAACCTTTCTCTTAAATTATCTTTTACTAAAATGTTTCTTTAAAATTCAAATATACGCGTTTTTTTTTTTATATAAAAGCACACTGTTTTATTAACATAATGGCACAAATTTGAAAAGCCGAAATATTCTCTCAACTCGTATGGAAGTCGACAATATTCTTATATTTAAAAACATTTCTCGTAACGGCGCCGCAAATACCCGTTGCGATATCGCTTCACAAGTAAATAATACGTGGAATAATTAAAGCCACTGTAAACGTTACTTACCAATTTATTTAATACATATTTAACGCACCGAGATTTATCTAATATAATATATTTATCAATAAATATGTATTAAAGTAACTTTTATATACTTAAAAGTTGTTGCAGCCTATTTCACTTCCATATTCTATACATTTCAAACTCCATACATTTCATTTCAAATATTGTCCGCGAGACTTCTCCAGTGAAACTGAAACAGACTCAATCAACTAATCACTTTTTCGTGACAAAAGTACTTTTTAGTAATTTTGAAATTGGAATGTCAAAACTAATAAAAAGTTTTTTTTTCTTAATATCTTCAGTTGTTGGTACTAACTGCAAAGGATTTTATCATAGTAAATAATTTTAATAATTCTTTATTTTTATTATATTATTGTAATATAATGATAATGATTATTTAACGCAAAATAAGTTTAGGAAGTGACAAAATGGAACATTGTATAAAAAGTAATTACGTGACTAAAGATTCAATTTAATACATTGCACTAATCGGATAAATTGACATCGATTCATATAATTATTAGGATTGCTTTGCTTTTATATTATAAATTCGTTGTTTTTTTTTGTTCATACATAATAGTAATTTCAAGTATATTGCATGAGTTAAATTGTATGGCAACTTAAATTAAAAAAAAATAAGTTAGTTGGCCTACTCAGTGACCATCAACAATGTATCAAGTAGCAAAAAAAAACAATACGTTGACCACATTATACATTTAGTGCAAAGATTTATAACATATTTTTTACAGAGGAGCCTAGAATTAGGTACTTAAAAGTCTTAAGTGTTTTAGTACAAGAAAAAATAAAGCCGCATACACTTGAATTTGTCGGCGATAGAGATAAATGTAAAGCCCATAATTAAAAATACTTAGGATGTGAAGTTTCAATAATCGAGAGGTATTGTTACACACCAATTCATTTGTTAAAGTAATGAGTCAGACGTTTTTTCAACCTTAAATGGAAGAGTAAAAAGGGAGTGCGGTCAACGTTTAGCGATAGCCCTATTGACAAAAATCATCACAGTGATTGCTATCGGGATTTGCGGACGGTCGAGTCCGTTGGGGGCTGCGGGAGGTATGTGGGGAGTGGGGGGAGTGTGGGGAGTGGGAGGATTGGGGGGAGTGGGGGTAGCGGCGGTAGCGGTGCGCTGGCGGCAGCAGGTGCCGGGCGAGCGTGCGCAGCGCGCGGGCGGGCCCTCAGTCGACCCCCGCGAAGCCCTGCGAACCCTCAATCGCCTTTATCAGCTTTTCGCGCAGCTGTTGGTAGCTATCGTACGGCGGTAAGTCGATCCGGTTGAAACTGAAACAATGTTATACGAATTATGTTTGAATACAAAAAATCCCCGTGCCTTGGTAGCTCAGATGGTTAGCGCTCGCTGTAAGCTTCACAGTACTCGAGCAACCCGGGTTCGATCCCCGCCGGCACCGATGAAATTGTTAGTTGCAATTTTAAGTGCTGATTTACCACGTGCTCGGCGGTGAAGGAAAACACCGTGAGGAAACATGCATGTCTGAGAAATAACAAAAAAAATTATTTCGAAGACATGTGAAGTTCGCCAACACGCATTGGAGCAGCGTGGCGGACATTTCCTTGCCCTAAAACCCTTTCAGAAATGAGAGGAGGCCTGTGCCCAGCAGTGGGACATAAATAGGCCGCAACTTTACTTTTTACTTTGACAAAAAATCCTGCCGGATTCGAATATCATTTAGGAAAGAGTTCTTTTTCTAGACTAGAAATCTTTAAATAGTGCTGAAATGATGGTATACACGATGTCAAGAAACCAACCAAAGACAAAGCTTCATTCAACCGCACTATAATAGGTACACTGCTGCAAGCCTGAAGCGCGTGTGCGTGAGCATTGGCGGCTTGTCACGTACAGATATAAACTACAGCAGAATTTTCCTTCTGAGCCTCGTCCACATGCTGTTTTCGAGTCAGTCTTTTACGTGTTAAAGCCATGCTAGTAGTATAGTTGTAGCACGAACGGGTCGGCTAGAAGGACCACGCTCTCACAGAATACCAGCGTAAAATAGCAGTTTAACACTGCTGTGTTTCGTATGGTGAGTGTAGAAAACCGAAGACCCTTTTTACTGGAAAAGACGCATTCCATCTTAGTTCTAACCGGTGACAACGCATCTGCATTTTGAATCTTTATTGGAGATAGCTGTAGATGTCAATGGGTCACAGAAACCACTTACCATCAGGTGAACTGTGTGCTCGTTTGTCACCCTATCCTATAAAAAAAGTCATTACGAATCGTCTCGCACTCAGACTCGACGACTTCCGGCCTCGCAAAGAAGCCGCTTTCCGCAAAGGTTTAAGCACCATATACATACCCTACAACAAGTTGTACAGAAATCCGAAGAGTACAATCTGCCTTTATATCTTACGTATATGGACTGTGAGAAAGCCTTTGATTTCGTCGAAATTTGGGCGATGCTGCAGTCCTTTCAGCGGTGCCAAGTTACTGTTGGTATAATAAAGTGTTTGTACTTGGATAGGTTTTGTAACCGAAGTACGAAACCTATCCAACTGCAGAGAGATATAAGACAGGGTGACGTTATATCCCCGAAACTCTTCACCGCTGCATTGGAAGACGTTTTTGTGTAACTACATCCAATAAGGGCTAATAATCTTATGTTCGCCATATGTCGGTAGTTGGAGCTAACCTGAACTTATTTTGTATGCATATAGTAACACAGTGTCGTCATAAGTTGACAGCATTAATAAGTATGTTGTAGTTGTTTTATGTTTCTATTTTCATACACAAAACTATGTTTCAGTGCTCTATTCTTTAATTTTTTACAAATGTTAACTTTCTTTCTTCTACTTTTAGAAATATAGGTAGTTTGGTTTATCCATTTGTAATATTATAATCATTAATTGGCGACCATGGTAACGGCGGGGCAGGGGGTGCTAAGAATCTCCGGTGGAGGTTCGGTTGCCACCTAAGACGACTCGACCTGGCAACATACAACGCACGCACCCTGAGGACTGACGAGAAGATCGTGGAGCTGGAAGAAGAGATAGACAAGTTACGCTGGCATATTATAGGATTATCCGAGGTCCGAAGAGAGGGGCAGGACACGGTAATCCTCGAATCCGGCAACTTGCTCTATCACCGGGAGGGTGACCATCCATCTGTCCCAAGGAGGTGTCGGATGTATCGTCCACAAGTCTCTCGTTAACAACGTTGTAAAGATCGAGAGTGTGTCGACGAGGGTTGCGTACCTGATACTCAGAATCACCAAACGGTATTCGCTGAAGGTCATACAGGTTTACGCACCAACCTCGGCACATCCCGATGAGGAGGTGGAGGACATGTATGAGGATTTTTTTATTTTTTTTATAGGATCGGGTGACAAACGAGCACACAGTCCACCTGATGGTAAGTGGTTACTGTGACCCATAGACATCTACATCTATCCTCAATAAAGACTGAAAGTCCTCACCCGTGAGGACTAAGATGGAATGCCTCTTTGCCAGTAAAAAGGGTCTCCGGTTCTCTACACTCACCGTACGAAACACAGCAGCGTTAAGCTGCTATTTTACGCTGGTTTTCTGTGAGAGCGTGGTCCTTCCCCGGTCGAGGCGACCCATTCGTGCTACAACCACAATATAGCTGCAGCATGGCTCTACCACGTAGAAAATAATAGAGGATATCTCTAGAGCCATGCATTCCTCCAAAACCCACTATACGGTGTTAATGGGAGACTTCAATGCAAAACTAGGCACAAAGAAGTTCGATCACGTTTCTGTTTATCGCAAGCAGCTTAAATGGCTCTCAATCCGCATTCGCAGGAACACTCGTATCCTCTGTCTTCTTTTCAACATTCTACATAATCCTACTATTCCGCTAGATCTAAAAAATCGTTTTACTTTTGTTCATTCTCCAGATGTACCATGTAGGTCAAATACTAGAACATTGTTAAGATTTCTGTCTTTCAATACCATGCTCTATTCTCATTCTTTTTCTGTTAACGCAGTACGATTGTGGAATTTACTTCCCTTTAGGATTCGTGATGCTAAATCGGTGTCTATGTTTAAAAGACTTGTTAAAGAGCACTATCATTCACTTCATAATTATTAAATCGTAATGTGTTGGTATTTGTGGCATTCTTTGGGGGAGGCCTATGTTCAGCAGTGGACTTGTGAAGGGCTGTAATGATGATGATGATGATGATGAATGTGTTGGTATGCATATAAGTAACATTAAAAATATATATTGAATTATACATATTTTTTTATAATATATAATATTTATTTATATATGTTTATACGTATATATAAGTTTGTATATATTTGTATAGTATATGTATATTTATGCAAGTGCACACTTTGACTACCTCTATTTCCTTCAACTATCCTTCAATAGGCCTGCTGGAAGAAATTTCATCATGGAATAAGCAGTGCCTTTGTACATAATTATGTTTTTACCATTTTCTTATCAAATTATGTGTGTACATAAACTGTTAAATAAATAAATAAATAACTTCCCCCGCTAGGAAATCTGTCAAAGATTTCACCTGCGTAATTGGCACCGCCCTGGTGGAAGTAAAGTCGTGAATGTTCTTATAGCAGTGTGCAGGTGTGAGCAGGAATGTGAACATATGACAAATTTGACAACAATTAAAATAAAGGGTTTAAGATTTAGGATTGAAAAAGCGAAGAAACTCTCACGGGACATTTTTGAACAGTTTTACAAATTTCAGACAGGGCGTTTTGACAAATAATCAGCGTTAAAACAGAGTTATAGTACGGCCGCTGAGTTATTACCGATTTGACAGATTATTCTTAAATTAATCGATATAACCTTGCACGAGCGACACATTTGCCGAATGATTTAGAATACCTCTTTAATATAAAACTTTATGTCAAAATGTCAGAATCAAGTAATTTTCCAATAAACTCTGTTTCAAAACTTAAAATAGTTTGTAAATAATATGAAAACATTTATTTTTTCGTCTAGTTTTCATAGTGATGTGCTTGATAGTATTCGGTCCGAATTCATTGGAATAGATATGATATTTATTTTATTTGGATATTTTTATTTTACTTATTCCTTCGAGCAACTAGACTATAATGCTACCATTTTTTTGCGTCTCCTAATTGCACTGTGTTGCCAGTATCTCTATGATTTTTAAGATTTATGTGTGATCCAAAGACAGAAATACTGTTTTCTATGATTTAAAAATAAATACAATTAAAATGATTATGTATAATTTTTAACATTCATAATATATAAAACAACATTTAATAAATATAATTTTCTCCCTCAATTAAGCAATGTTATAGGTGTATTTTTTTAAGTAATTGGCGATACTATTCTGGCAACACCCTTACCACCGCTATTGTAATCTGTTTAGTCGTCTTCCGTACTCTCGTGCGCACAGACTACGTTCTCTTGTGTAACCGTTGTTTTTTGACTCGGCTTTCTCCTGCTTATCGTTGCGCTTTATTGGACTAATTTTGTTTGTGTTTGGTAATTTTGTTGAAAATGACGAAACGAGGAAAAACATTGAATAGTCAATGTCGTGAGCTTGTACTAAAGCTACAGGATTACTTTGAGCGTGAGTCACAAAATGGCGGCCCTTTGATTCCTGTCACTCAAGTGAAAGATCGGGTTTCACAAGCTCTTGGAATTGGTGCAAAAACACTATATAATATAAATAAAGAAAAATTTGGTGCTTCTGGAAGTGAAGATAATGTTTTACGCACTCCTAAGAAAAAACGAAGACAAAAGCCCGTGACAGGTGTTGATGTTTTTGATGCAGATGCAATAAGAAACCACATATATGGTTATTATACTAGGAACGAGTTTCCAATTAGACGTTTGCTTTTGGTCTCTTTAAAAGAAGCTGGCTTGTTTAAAGGCGGTAAAACGGCGTTGTCAAAACTATTGCACGAAATTGGGTTTGAATATAAAAAAACGAATAAAAGGAAAATATTAATGGAAAGATTTGATTTAATAATTAAAAGGAGCGAGTTTTTAAGAGAAGCCAGAAAAATCGAGTCTTGGGACAACGTCGTTTTTGTTGACTACTCAGGCCGATAAGAAAGCTGATCTCGTAGCATGGCTACACCAAAATGGAATTGAAACTATTGCCGAAATGCTAAAGTCTGACTTAGTAAAGTTGGTACGCGAAAATAAAACATCAAGAGTCCGTTATGAAGTAGATGAGATAGCTCTAGCACATGGACATCGGGTACTTCGAATTCCGCCTTATCACTGCCAGTACAATGCCATTGAGCTAATATGGGCACAAATCAAAGGTATTGTTTTTTATCGCATAAGTTAT